GTGTCCCGGTCGGCGGGGCGGCGGTCCCCCCGGGAGCCGCGGCCGCATCCCGGAGCAGCAGAGCCGTATCCTGATCCCACTGCATTCTGCATCCCATGGCATTGCATCCCACAACATCGCATCCCATGGCATTGCATCCCACTGCATCCCACGACATTGCATCATCCTGCATCCCACTGCATCCTGTCTTCTGCTGCATTGCATCCCGCGTCATTGGATCCCTCTGCATCCTGCATCCTGCAGCATTGGATCCCACTGCATCCCGCATCCCACAACATTGCATCCACTGCATCCCGCAATATTGCATCATCCCGCATCCCACTGCATCCTGTATTCTGCTGTATTGCATCCCGTGTCATTGGATCCCGCTGCATCCTGCATCCTGCAGCATTGGATCCCATTGCATCCCGTGGCATTGCATCCCACTGTATCCCACATCCTGTGGCATTGCACCCCATTGCACCTCACATCCCGCAGTATTGCATTCCACTGCATCCCGTAGCACTGCATCCCACCGCATCCTGCCTTCTCCATCCCCAGCTCCATCCTGCAGCTCTGCATCCCGCCTGTTGCATTCCCGGTCCCACCCCTGTGCCATCCATGAGCATCCTGCTTCCACGGATGCTCCCGCTCCCACCCACCGCGCTGCCCTCAGGTCCGGGAGCTCCGTCGATGCCTCCGGCACCCTGCGGAGTGAGGAAGGAGGATCAGGACCAGGGAAGGAATCCTCGGAGCGCAAGGATGGTTGGAGGACGGATGTCTCCTACCGGCGGTCCTGGCGGGCCGGGGGAGGATCCGGTCGGACCTCGCATGCCCTAGGACCGGGGATGGGAGGGTTGGTGAGCCCGGATCACTCCCGGGAAGCTCCCGGGAAGCTCCTGGAGAGGCCGGCGCGCGGCCCGGCTCTTCCCGGCGGGACACTCACCGCTTCTCCAGGCTGCCCGCGGGGTCCCGGGAGCCCGTCAGGGCCCTGCAGGAGACGGGGCAGAGCTGAGCGGATCCGCTGGATCCCCCTGGATCTCCAGGTGCAGAGCCAAGTGTCTCCCCCAGATCCCCCTGGATCCCCCTCAATGGAGCTGAGTGGATCTGCTGGATCCCCCTGGATCTCCTCCAGGTGCAGAGCCAAGTGCCTCCCCCCGGATCCCCCTGGATCCCCCTGAATCCACCCAATGGAGCTGAGCGGATCCACTGGATCGCCCTGGATCTCCTCCAGGTGCAGAGCCAAGCGTCTCCGCCTGGATCCCCCTGAATCTCCCTAGATCCTCCCAATGGAGCTGAGCGGATCCCCCCAAATCCCTCTGGATCTCCCCCAGGTGCAGAGCCAAGTGCCTCCCCCCGGATCCCCTTGGATCCCCCTGAATCCACCCAATGGAGCTGAGCGGATCCACTGGATCCCCCTGGATCTCCTCCAGGTGAAGAGCCAAGAGTCTCCACCTGGATACCCCTGAATCCCCCTAGATCCTCCCAACTGAGCTGAGCGGATCCCCCCAGATCCCCCTGGATCTCCCCCAGGTGCAGAGCCAAGTGCCTCCCCCTGGATCCCCCTGGATTCCCCTGGATCTCCCCTCTGGAGTTGAGCAGATACCCCCAAATCCTCCTGGATCTCCCCCAGGCTCAGAGCCAAGTGTCTCCCCCTGGATCCCCACGGATCCCCCCGCATCCCCCTCCGGAGCTGAGCGCATCCCCTCGGATCTCCCCTCCCCTCCACGTCCCCGCTCACCTGGGGGCCCCGGCGTCCGGGGGGCCCCGGCGTCCCCGGCTGCCCCACGTCGCCCTGCGGCAGAGGGGGGGGGATGGAAGGCAAG